ACTACCAGAGCTCCTTTCTTTTGTACATAGGGTCACTATAAATCAAAACAGAGTTCTGTTCTTCCCGGAGCATCCCCCTTCTTTCTGCCCTTCATGCCACTCATCTTACATAAGTAATCCCTTGACCTCCCCTCCAACACACATTCCTTCCTTTTTTTCCTCAATTGGATGAGCATTCACAAAGAGAAGATGGAAGCTCTTACTTGGACTCTAGAAAAAGTCCCAACAAGAAGAAGTCTGTCCTTGGCCTATCAATGCACTAAGCAATGCTGCAGCCACAGCCAGTGTGTTATCAGGTGGGATCAAGCCTGTTGGCAGGTCTGACACCTGCAGCCACAACCTCTTTGGCTCATGATGCTGCGGAAAGCCCTACAGCACAGACGTTGTGAACATGGGTCTGAAAGGGAGGGTGTCAGCCAAAGGTGTTAGTTCAGTCTTATTCGTTAGGAGCTGTGCGACCTTGGCTAGTTACCAGGTCTCTTGAGACCTGAGTTTTCTTATTTACAAACTGAGAATTCTAGTATCTATTTCATTGTTGTGTTTTTAGGAATTCAATAGGACGATATGGGCAGAGTTAAATATTCTTAGGAAGGTGCTCAATAATGATACTTATTGTTACTGTGATCTACAGTGTTTTGAAAGAAAAAATAACAACAAAAAAAGCCTGATTTTTCTTTTGTATGGCACCCTGGCCATTTTCAGGTATATCTGGGGTAGACTCATGGTGTTGATGGATAATCCTGTCATTTCCTGCTTGTAGAACCTCTAAGGCTACGTAGCCTCTGATGCTAATCATATGAGAATGGACTGTTTGCCCTTGGAATTAATTTTGTTTTCAGAGTCGATGTCGAAGAGTAGATAGTCAGATATATTTTCCCTCAGACCTGGGTCTTGCCACCTTACTCTTTATTGAGTGGGGTGGTTTTCAAATCAGGGCTGCTGGTACCCTCATTTCTCAGAAAGTGTGCTTCATCAACCCCCTCACACAGAAAGCCAAACTGAAGTACTAAGTGAGGCTTGGACTCAGTGTGTAAGATGCCTCAGAAAAAGGAAAGAGAAGAAAATCGCACTTCATTAACAAGAAGAATGGTGTTTAAAAAAAAAACACCATCTGTGCAGTATACAACATGTTAGTATATTTCCAGGAAATGGTGGCAAATTAGTTAAATCAAGTCAAATCAAGTTACAGATGTAGTTGGGAAATTCTCATATGATTCTGAATTTCCCATAAAAAGGATTTTTGTGATTTAAATCAAATGACTTATATCCAGTGTTTTAAAAGCACAGAGGTGCCAGCTCATCCTCAAGTCTCCTTTGAATTGAAATATTCCACAATGCCATTCACAGCTTTGCTGTTGAATTATGAAGTGTTTGTGTCTGTGTTGTAAGGTGTTGGGAATCGGGGGTGGAATCAAATTCCAGAAAAATACCAGCACAGTCACTGTCTGTGAACACTAGTAACCTTCCTCTGTACTCAAGAAAGGTTTTCTTCCCACATGGCCTATGTGCTTTGTTTGTTTGTGTTTTAAATCGTCTCCGATGCTCTGGCATTAAAGGCGATTGCTGCCGAGGCCCCATTGGAGTAAGAGTACCCCATATGCTGTAGGTTTTGTCTATTCCACCTTTAAAAAAAGATAAATCTAAAGACGATGCTGTTGCCAAGTTATAATTTGTATAACATGTCTTTGGGGGCAATAACTCATTCTTAGTATTTTCACCCAAAAGAGACATTTATGATTATTCTTTTTGGTCTACTCCTGAAGATTGTTGTCACATCATTTATTATCTTTATGGTGGTTGCATTCCTAAGCTGTGGTTGCTGTGTGGAGAGGCAGATTTTCTTATACTTTGTTTAAAATACTGTTTATATTTTTTGATTAGGTGGCTGTACTACGATCCCAGAATCAGACCTAGAGGAAAGATCGGTAGAACAAGACTCCGCAGAACTGTTTCCCAACCACAGGCACCTCCTTGCAGAGTCGCCCATGCCTGGTAAGTGGGTGGGTGGCTGGCACAAATGATAGGCCAGCTAGAGTGACATATGGGTCAGTTTTTGTCAGTACCAGAGAGCATTTTCCAAAGTTGCCTGCTTTACTTCCTCATCTTTCCCGTCAGCATTGGTGCAGCTGAATTTGATCATTTTTGTCTTTTTTCATTATTAAAATAGACCTTTCTTTTCTCTTTCTTTTTCTCTCTTCTTTACCAGAAGTTTCATCGTTCCACGGAGTCTCGGAATAGTCCAGATAGAGTTGTCTGGTTGAGAGGAAGATGCCCTTTTCAAGACTGTCCCTGTGTGGACCTCATGCCAAGCACAGACGTAGAGCTGTCCCAGGTGCTCCATTCAGCTCAACTGCCTTGGGACGACACTACTGAGAGATGGGATTCAGAACTTTTTATTTTTCTAGGAGGACTTGTAATGCCATGAGCAAGTCAATTGGTAATTTGGCCAGGAAAGGATGTTACTGTCTTTTGGGCAGGTGAATGCTGACATTCGGAGGAGGTAGTGAGATGCCATGGTTTGGGGAAAGACTTTATAATTTAGAGAGCCAAATAATTTGGTATCCCATTTTCCACAGAATTCTTAAATAGTAAATGTATCAAGCTTAATAAAGTATCTCATTGGCAATCAGTATCTTATATTTGGTTTATAATCATATGAGTGATTTCTTTACAACATTTATCCTCTAAAGGAGAGGAATTGAAAATGTTGTCGCTGTATAGTAACACTTGAATGTGAATATTTTATAAAATAAAACAACCTGTATAGAATTTTAATATGGTTTATTCTATTAGGCTGAAAGTAGAAGAAAGTAAGTTTCCCAGTATTGTATATTGGAATTGTTAAGTGCCATTGAGTGGGTTCCAACTCATAGCGATCCTATATAAGGATGTTGGTGATGGTGCTGTGCCGTGGAGTTGGTTCCACCTCAGAGCGACCCTGCATAAGGTTTCTGAGGCTGTAAATCTTTACTGGAGCAGAAAGCCTCATCTTTTTCCTGTGAAACAGCTGGTAGATTCAAACTGCTGATTAGAGTTCCTTAAGGTTAAGTTTAAAGGGGCTTTTTTGTTGCTGTCATTATCTATTTTGCTGAGAATTTTCATATGGAGGACATATATGTAATATTTTTTACCTGACACTAATTATCATTATCTTAGGCCTATTAACCACTTGACCAATGTTACTTAAGCAAATTATTTTATTTTTTAAGGTAATTTAATTCAGAGCTCTATGTACATACATTATGCATATAAATGTTTAAAATCCACTTAATTTATCACCTCTCATATTTTACCAGTTGTAATGGGAAGATAGTTAATAATTATAATTTTTTAAAATATTATCAAATAGCAATAAAATATAAGCTCTAAAACATTTTAGGTGAGGTATTTCCTCAGTTTAAGTTGTATACTACTCGTATTTAATCTGATGGTATAAAACTCATGTAAAATTTTCCTATTAGCCAAAAAATAATGGAACTAAGAATTGTCATAACTGGGATAGTTTTTAAAAATCAAGACCCAACTCACTGTTAAAACCGATTTCATTAGTTTGGCACCAATAGTTCCATCTTTAAAAATAGCTGTTCATTATCTCTTTTCTTATTGGATCTGAACACCTCTGGTGTGTGTGTGTGTATATTCTGGAGTAGATCACAAAGCTGGAAGAATGAAGATGATGCTGTTTTCTTAGTAGCCAGATAGTCTCATTATTATTCACAACAGATGCTAATAAGAAAATAAACATTTATTAACTTTGTATTGTGTGACAAGCACAATGTCTAACACTTGCAAAGCAGGAGTTCATTCACTTTTCATGACAATACTATGATGTATGTTCTTTTATTTTTTTTTTAATTTTTATTGTGAATTGAGTGATAGTTCTCATGGGAGAATATCAGCTTTACATTCATCCTATAGTATTTCGTTTCATTGCAATGACTACAATCCCCTCCATGCATCATCATTCAACAGCATTTCCTTCCATTCCCTTTGGTGTTTTTATTTTATTTTATGCACACTGAAGCACTCAGGAATATATAACCACCCAAACAACCAAAGGGTATACCCTGCAAGCCTACCTACCCCATGGCTGCCAGCACACAGCCTCTCTCCTTCTCTGAGTCCAGAGTCCCCAGCCACTCCCTCTCTCCATGTCCCCATCTCTGCCTCCATCTCTGGCATCACTGCTTCTCTGAGTAGGGTCCTGTACTCCACTCTTCTCCCTTGATGGTTCCAGGGGTCTCCACTCCTGGACTGCAAGATCAACCACTCCCTTCCTCTTGTTACAAAACATCTTGATGTATGTATGTACTGTTTTATCTTTATTCAAAAAATAATATCATTTGACTTCATGGTGGTTAATTGCCATTGAGTCGGGTGTGACCCATAGTGGCAGGCACTTTATACAACAGACTAACTCACTGCCCAGCTCTGCACCATCTTCACAATTAGTGCTATGCCTGAACCCATTGTTGCAGCTACTATGTCAACACATCTTTTTGAGGGTCTTTCTCTTTTTGACTGACCCTCTGTTTTACAAGTATGATGTCCTTCTCCAGGGACTGTTCCCTCATATCAACATATCCAAAGTGTGGGAGAAATCTTCACCATCCTCCCTTCTAGGGGGCAGCTGGGCTGTACTCATTCCAAAACAGATAGATTAGTTCTTCTGGCAGTTTGTTATCTATTCAATATTCTTCATCTACACCAAAATTCAAATGCATCAAGTCTTCTCTGGTCTTCCTTATTCATTTCCAATTTTCTCATATAGATGAGGCGATTGAAAATACCATAGCTTGGGTAAGGCTCATCTTAGTCCTCAAGTGACATCTTTGCTTTTCAATACTTTAAAGAGATCTAAATAATTTATCCAACAACCCAAAACTAGCTATAGCAGAACTAGGGTTTCAATTCTGGCTGATTTCAAAGTCAAAATGTGAGTATTCCCCAGGTTAAACAAGATCCATTTTTTATTGTGTCTTTAAGAATTTGTGTGTAAGTTGGAATTGGCACATAGGGTTCTTAGTCTTACTTTATAGTGTACTTGCAGCAAATGAAGGTGATTGTGATGAATTTGTTGTGAGTATAAGTTGGTGAGGAGTATGGGTTGTGAGCAAAGAGCCATAGTGGTGTAGTGGGTTACAGGTTGGTTTGCTATCCAAAAGGTCAGAAGTTCGAATTCACCAATACTCCATGGAAGAAAGAGAGGCTTTCTGCTCCTGTAAAGATTTACAGCCTTGGAAACCTTATACAAAGTCATTGTGAGTCAGAACGGATTCAAGGGCACAACCACACCAACAATCATGGATTGGTTCAGGTCATAGTGAGTTACACATTGGGCTGCTAACTAGAATGTCAGTAGTTTGAGTTCACTAACTGTTTCGAGGAGAAAAATAATGCTTTCTGTTCCCTTAAATATTTAGTCTTGGAAACCCTATACAGGGCCATTATGAATCAGAACAGACTCAATAGTACATAACACACACATATACACCCATGAATTGGTTCAATTGTTGTAAAGTGAGGGCAAATTGACATAATGTTTAAGGGCAAGTAATATCTATACATAGAGATAATTATAAAAATCACACTGTTACATTTAAACGAAAGGTTTCTTTTAGTGCAAGATAGCTAAAATTTCTTTGATTTCTAGCATGGTTCCATATTATAAAAATATATTTATTAGTTATTGGTCACTTCTATTTTGTCTTTGGTGAATTTGCCTGTTCATGTTCCTTCTTGTCCCTTTGTTGAAATTCATGCTGGTGATAATAATATTCTTATGGATTTGTAAGACCTTTTCATATAGAAATAATCTTATTCTTCGGCCCATCCTGTATGATACATAGATACTATTGTCAGTTTTTCATTTGTCTTTTATTGTTGTTTCTGGGTTTGTTTTTTAAATATACATTCTCTAAATTTTATTTTGAGGACACTGAGGTGTGTCTGGCTCAAGCAGTGGTATTTTCAATTGCCTTATATGCATGTGAAAGGTGGATAAAGAATATGAAAGTTCGGAGAAGAATTGATATATATGAATTCTGGTTTTGGTGAAGAATATGAAAGTACCATGGACTACCAGAAGAACAAACGAATCCATTCTAAAAGAAGGAAAGTTGGAATGCTCCTTAAGCATTGTGTATTGGTGAGACTTTGTCTCATGTACTTAGGGCATGGTATCAGGAGGAATCAATCTCTGTAGAAGGTCATCATGCTAGGTAGAGAGTCAACAAAAAGGAGGAAGCTCCTCAACTAGATGAAATGACACAGAGGCAGCGACAACAGGCTCAATCATAGCAACAATTGTGAGGATGGCCCAGGACCAGGCAGTGTCTCACTCTGTTGTACGTAAGGTCATTATGAGCCAAAATCAACTCAATGGAGCTTAACAACAACAAATTTTAAGTAACCAATTCTGTCAACTCCTATCTTTGTAGTTTCTGCTTTGGGGGTCAAACTTTGATGGTATAATATTAGGTTTACACTCATTCTTTTACATGCAAATCTGAGGTCCTGCACAGACTATGGTGTTCTGTGTTATGGCAAGCTTCACTCATATTCTCCACTGTAATACCCTGGGTTATATAAGCCACAATGCTCTGTTCCCATTTGTTCTCATAGCTCAAACTCTCTTAAATGAAAGGGCCCCTAGTTTTTGCCACACTAGGGGAAACTTGATATCATCCCACAATTATTCTGAAAAAAGCAAAAAATCATTAAGAAGACAAGAAAGAAGGAAAAGGTCAAAATGGATGTCAGAAGAGACACTGAAACTTGCTCTCCAGCGTAGAGATGCTAAAGCAAATGAAAGAAATGAGGAAATACAAGAGATGAACAGAAAATTCCAAAGAACAGCTTGAGAAGTTAAAGCCAAATATTACAACAAAATGTGCAAAGATCTGGAATCAGAAAACCAAAAAGGAAGAACACGCTCAGCATTTCTCAAGCTGGGGGAACGAAGAAAAAATTCAGGCCTCTATGTTCGTTATTGAACGATTCTCTGGGCAAATTATTGAAT